AGCAGTTTTTATAAATTCAAAATGCATTCAACCCACCCACATTAAACACCAAACTTAGAGCACCAGCCATAGGCACATTTAACGCAGTATTCTTAGCTCATGAACCAGCGTGATGATGTACTTATGGCCTGATGCATGCTCGTTAATCCAGTTAGATACATCTAACAAGGTCTTTGGATAAAAGACAAAATGTTTTAACAAAGAAGAACCCATCAAGAGGACCTGACTCAACCTTGGTAGAACTATGCACAGTGCACAATGTCAGGTTCTTTTAGGTAATCAAAACATTAATAGACTAATGTGATATGAAGTAATCAGAGTATATACATAGCCATCTTTTCCTGCTTGTTCTCGACGAGGATGGACGCTTTTCCCTCCTGCTCCTGCCTCCCTCTTGCTTTGCTCTTTGTCTTGTGAATCCTATCGGAGCCTCTCACTGCATATCCTCTGAATTGTAAATAAAGGATCTGGTCAGCTGGTCTCTCAATGCAATTGATACAATTTTCTTGACAAGAAGACAGTGCGAAGGAAAGCCCTCTTGCCCTGAAAAGACACTTGCAGCTGGATACACTATGGATTCCTGGGGGCAATAGAATATGGTGTCTCTGTATTATCAGTGGAGGATGTAGAGATGCACACATAATTGGATTTACGATAACCGGATTTCTGCTTTTTGGAGTTGGCAGGTATCTGGCATATCTGCTCTCAAAACAGGTCTCTCTTGAAAATGAGTCCTCGTGACTCAATTAAAGTACCCGAATAAATATAGGGTAAATAAATATTGATAAATTCAGAAGATGGCAGCAGCGGTTCTGGCAATTGTAAGGCTGCCTGCCTTGCATGAAGGAATGCCCCGAGCGGTAAGCTCTCAGACTCAGACGCTGCATGAGCTGAGCCGTAAGTTGGACGAAGTTTCTAAGAATCGCAGGCCACTTGCGACTCCTGGAACTCACTGGTGGGAAGGAATAGACCATGGAGAAGGTTACAAGCTCTGTCCGACAGTGTGACCACAACATTTAGCTGTTTGGAATCTCCAGTGAGACGTACCAGCAGAACTACGAAGGCAGACATGGAGATTCAAGCAGAGGCTGCCTGACCCAAAATAATTGTGTTATCTGAATTTGGCTTCCCCACTCATTCTAGAATTGGCCATCTATCTCAAATTTCTCTTGGTTGTTTATGTGAATGAGGAGCTTTGGTGCTCTTGCTTTGGTGCAATGACAATAAAGCTGATTCTGATTATCTCAAATCCTTTGTCAAATTATTGACTACCATAATGACTTGACTACCATCACCTTTGGCTCAAAAATTCTGCTGTTCTCTCCCTGATTAATGATCATGGCTGGTAAATTCTAAAAAAAATCTTTCCTTATCTCATTGCTCCCAAGTTTTACAGCCTCAAATCACAAAAAAATGTAACGATCATGGCTATACCCAGATATAAGGTCAGAGGAGAACAAAGATTCAGGATGAATTTACAGTGATTTAAAAAGTGTTAAACTATACAATGAGCCAGGGAGGGAGTTGGCATCCTGAAGAGCAAGGAGATGACAAGTGGTCGGTTGGCAGGGGTGATAATGTTACTGTTACAATGGAGGTCAGAGTCAATAGTGGTGAGAGCTGACTCAATGGTTCCAGGTGAAGAAGGTCTCTGTCTGAACAATGGCAGGTGATAGAAAGGCGTGGAGCCAGCTGAGGAGGCACAGAGGAGCTCAAGTTCCACAGAGGAGGTTCCAGGAAACGCGAGGACATCAAGGATTATTCACTGGAGGCATGGAGAGAATACAAAGTCATTAGTATTTAGTTTTAGACATGCACAAAAGGCTAGACCAGAACTACCATTGGCACGTAATGCTCCAGTGCTGGCTGAATGTCTTCTGCAGTCTTTTATGCTCCTCATGCTCATCAAGCCGATGATCCTCAGGTGCTGCTGATTAGAGTCTGGCTATGGGTACAGGAGATGTCAGAGTAGAACTTCTATGGATAAACTTATTATTTTATGTTGCTAGAAGAACCAGCATTGCTTGAAGAATGAGTGGTGAGTCCATTGTTCTTTAATATTTCAAACAGGAAGTTTGCTGACATCAACTAAAAGCACTCTTAATGGACATGTGTAGGTTAGACAAAAAAAAATCTAAATCATATTGTTTTTAAAGAGCTTCAGATAAACTGATACACGCCAAGAATCAGTAAAGTGTTTATCCCAGGTACACTTTCTACATCTCCTATGCTAAATTTACACACAAGATCTTTGGAAATGGGCACTGTGATTTTTAATGAGCTCAGGAAACAAAGATAATAGAGACAACCACAACGACCAATGAGGTGTCAAAATACTGTCACTTCAATTACTTTCAGATAAGACGTAATCACATCATAGAAAACAAAATGTTCATAAATAAGGAATACCACTGTATACTGTATTTTTTTTACTTTATTATATTTTTCTCATTCTTATTTATATGTATAAAGTAGATAAGCAAGTGTTTCTCAGCAAAAAAAAAAAAAAAAACACACAAAAAACATTTTTTGGCAATAAACAAAGATCATATTGGCCAAATAAGTCATATTTGTTAGTATAAAATCACAATTTAGGGAAATGCCACTTTTTAAATAGACTGGTGTGTGCTCAAATTTTCTTCACGTATAGACGTAGAGAGTAAAAGGATCACGTAACACATTTGTGAAGTTGGCATGTCACAATCTGGCTTAAGTCTCTAAAGAAGCAATACACAATCAACAGTCAGCCCATTGCAACACAAAGAAAACCTGACCGCACTGCAGAACAAAGTATAGAGCACACACACACTCCCTCACACACAGATGAAGGGAAATCTTAAATAAGGAACAGAATTGGGCAACATTCTCTAAATCAAATCCAATGTGGAACATAAGGGAATTCTCCTCATTTTTCACTTCCTTTAAAGTTAATCATCTGTCCTTCGTCTCCTCCGACTCCCTCCCTCCTCTCTTTTGCCCTCTCTCCATATTTAATAACTCATCACCACCATCTTTGCTCCACTGGGGGTTTAGTAGTATCCCAATAAAGAACCATGTTCGTGAGAATATCACCCAGCCATTGAAGGGAACAAGACTTGAGGATGGTGTTAATATTGTTTTTGTTCTTCTACAGTTATTTCTGCACTTATTTTTATTTTATTTTATTTTTTCTTCTCTCATCTCCATCATCTGGCCTCAGTTTCACCTCAGTGAGAACCAGTGGTAATGAATGTGAGCATTAAAGTCATACTCATGATGAATGGAATGGCCTTTAGCTTTCTCTCGTTGTCCTTTATCTCCACCTCTCTCTCCCTGCTTTTCTTTCTTCCCTGCCTTTCCTCCTCCTTTCAGCCCTCTGGGTACATCAGAGTGTGTGGCAGCAATGTTTTTTAAGCTTAAATTAACCCATTTACTATATCCTTGACCAAACTAAGTCGTTTGTCTGCTGTGAGTGTTATAGTAATATGGACACAAGTCAGGCAGCTAAATCAAACACATTTTACTTGAGATAAAAGCAGCACTCTTTTACAGCACCATCTTAATCACCCTGTTACTTTTTAAACAATCAGTTGTTTCCAGAAAGTGGCAGAAAGTTTGTGTGATTATGTCACTGTCACAATTGGCTGGTGCACCCAATGGTGCAAGCAGGCAGGCAATGACTTATGATAATATAAAATAAGGAATTTATTTTACAAAACAAAAGAGCTGATGGGGCAGCAAACTTACATAAACCAGGAAATGAACACGAGGAGCAGACTAGGTATCACAAGGAACAGGACAACACCATTGGACAGAGAACAACAGAGGCAACTAACATAGAGACACAGACTTATATACAGGTAACACCAATTAGACCAAGTGATGACACCTGTGAGTAATCACAGATGCCAGAGAAGGAGACAAAGGATGCAAGACATGAACACGACACAAGATGGGGCTAGATGTTAAAGAAACACAAACCCTATAAGAGAAACGGAGTATCTTGGGAACACAGACAAACACGATACCAGGGACAAAACCACAACTCCTACAGTCACATTGTATTCTCATTCATTATCATAATTTTACAGTGCAAAACCTTCATGTTTATAAGTTTTAGTAAGTCTGAAAAATAAATATTTGAAGTGTTGTATACACAAGCTTACCTACTTGGAAAAAGTGGTGTTTCAGTAAAATCCAATGATTTAAAAAATACCATCCTAAAGGCTATAGCAGAATACATATAAAACAAAATAACTGCGTGTCAAATATATTTTTGCACCAAATTAGCACTGCACATGCAAATTAACAATGCAATGTTCTACAAAAAAAAAAAATAATAATTGTTTTCACATTCACATGGAGGCTATCATGACACTTGCCTACTTTTAACATTCAATGTCCAAATGGCGACACACCACCCCCAATTCCACCTCTGATTCTGTTCAACTCCTACTAGTTGTGGGCCTCAAAAACACTGCCCTAAAATGGGTTGAAAAAAAAAACCCAGCAAAGTCTGGTGAGGTCTGAATGCATCTATGGTAAGGGAGCCCAACTTAAAACAATCTTACCCTTAGTCACAATCCACATGGTCCTTAAGTCACTTTGCCATTGATGTGCAATTTAGCTCTCATCTTATCGAGTCTTCTCAGGTGTAGGTGATTTGCCACTGTGACTTGTTTCCACGCTGTGGGTGGGATGTCAGTGCAAAGTGGGCAGTGTCGTAACAGGTCATTATGTTTTAGCCACTCCACCCATTGCCATCCTTCATCACCCTATAATCAGATATAAAATTATTTAGCTAATTCTATAGCACTGCTTATAAGACTAGGTGTAGCCATGCTGCACCATCATCTCCGATATCTTTCTGAAAATGTGCTCATTTCTTGTAGCGCCATCTGTCAACACAGTCAGAGAGGAAATGGAAATTCAAATGTAGTTTGGTGTTTTGCTGCGTGGGTCATCTACGTAGCTCCTCTGGTCAGTCAGTGACTGGAGTATGCTTATGTCAAAATCGTTACCTTGGCCACATTCACTTGGAGCCACGAATATGGTGCCCCCCTGGACTGGTCTGAGTGGGGGTGGGTACCAGCAGTGGACAGACATTGTTTCTGGTGCAGTGTGGTGTGGAACCAATGAGTTTAGACAGTGGCAAAGCACCATGAGTTCTGTTGGCAATGCCTCCATTCCAAATGCATCAAGGATCCATCCATCCATCCATTATGTTTTACCCGCTTCTTCCTTTTTGGGTCATAGAGTGTAAATGTCCAACCATTGCTGTGCGAAAGGCAGGGGACACCCTGGACAGGTCTCCAGTCCATCACAGGGACACATAGACAAACAAGACAAATAATTATTCATTCTCTCACGCACACCTGGGGACAATTTAGAGTTACAAATCAGCCTAAAATGCATGTTTTTGGTCTGTGGGAGGAAACTGAAGTACAGGGATGCACCCACACACGCACAAAGAAAACATGCAAATGCCACCCAGAATGACCCTCGGCTGGGCTTCGAACCAGCAACCTTCTTGCTGAGAGGCGGCAGCTCTGCCAACTGCGCCACCATGTGGCAAGGATCCTTTAACTGTTTTTGTGTCCATGATTCCTCATTGCTTGCAAAGGTGGAACCCACTCATCATCAATGGTTACTCTGTCGCTGTTGTTTTCTTATTTTTCTGTGAAGATGTTGTCGTGTTGTGGATGAAATATTTAGTAAGCATATGTTGCATCCTGAAAAAAAATAAATAAATGCAGAGTGGGAGGACTATAACAATTTTAGTTTTTCTGTTCAGCATGCTAAAGCTTGCAAGGTGAAGTTCAAATGCAGAGTTCCCATACAGTGGAACAGACAATTTTGATTTATTATACCTTTTAAACAGTATGTTGTTTTAATGATAGTGAGTAGAAATAAATTAGGGCTCGGCCCTTCTCTCCATAGCTTCTTGAGGACGTCTCTAAACATGTTGTACAACTTTATGTTAGTCAAGAAGCTTTATAGGTTCAGAGTCAAAGCCGTAATGTTTCTTTGGTCTTACACAAAGCTTTTACGATCTGTCCTTTCACTGCTATGGAGACAACGCAGAGGCAAACATCCCTAAATTTTACCATCTTCTTGTTTTGGTTTGTCTGTTTAGCACAGATCACACATTTTTCTCCTTGCTTGCCCACTTGTCCCTCTCGCAGCTTCAAACCGCACACAGCTACAGAAACTGCTCTTACTTCTCATTTTTCTGCTCCTCCCTCTGTTTGTGTGCTCCCCACGGTTAGAAACAATGGGGTTCACGCTGAATGATATCAGCAAGACCCAGGATCAGACCGAAACGATCCGAGCGCAGACAGAGAGCAGAGACAACAGATCCAGGATCAGATGCACCATGCCGGCATAGACATGCTGCGGCAGGTGCTAATTCTTGAGCATTGCACCACTGAAAAGAAGGTAACTGTTCACTCCATCATTCCAATAACAACGTATACATTCCTTATATTGGATTTTACAACTGTTCTGCAAAAGATTAACTAAAACAAGGTCATTTGACTTTTCAGTTTTCACCTCAAATAGCTGACATTTATTCAAATATGTTTAACTGGAATACCTTGACTAATAAGGAAAATAAATGGTGATTAAACGTCTAATATATATTAGATTAAATATACTTTTCACTCTTTTTGTACTGTTTGGTCTTTCCCAACAATAGGACTGATAAGGGGGGTTGCACAGGTGGGGGATTCATTCAGATGTGAATTTTTCATGTGCAATATTCACTGCGACAGAAGAGGCATTGTCTGTCTCCACAAAGGTGCTCATAATAAGATGTTAGATACCAGATATTAAGATGTTTTCTATATTTAGAACCTTGTTAAAAACATATTTTAGAAGCTATGGTTACAAAAAAGAATAAAAGAAAACATCTTAAAAACCCTTCTTTAAGTTGTTCTTAAGAACCCGTTTTCCACTTTGCCTTTTTTATGATAAGAGCAAAACATTTATTATTTGTTGTTTTTGTTGGAATTCATTAACCAGGATGAAAAATAAAAATGTTACGCTAATTTTAGGAGACATTCAAAGGCTTACATTTGTATTAAAACAGGAAGGAGCAGACAAAATGTAGCCCTTTCCACTGGCGATACACTTTTCACTGTTATATTTATTTATTTATTGTATTTTTGGGGGTGGATAAGGTCTGTTCTTGGTGCTGACTGTACAACAATCACAGAGGAGAAAGCTCTTTTTGAAGCTCACTTGAAATATGTTTAAATGAAAACAGTTTATGATCTAATCCGAATCTGTAAACAAATTAATTTGGACACAGTCGAAGCTGAAAAACTCTAATCTTGGACTAAAAGTTGTTTTAACGAATGATTTCGTACGTTAAGATATTTTTCATTACCTGTGAAATGAACTGCTTTGACAGGTGTGTGTGTCAGTGTCGGTGTGTGTGTACTCCATGTTTTGCTCTGTGAAGTCAGTGGACAGATCATTACATTCTGTCCAGGGATCCAGTTCCTGCTCCACATCTGTCCTTGCTTTACGCACCAAAGCTTCTTTTTCCTCCCTCAGATCTTTCTCGCAGACTCACCCCCACTTGCAGCTTTGCATACACACAGTAACTGTACTTCACTGTGAATTAAACTGATTTATTTGTGCAAATGTCCAAACATTAAGAGATCTGAACGTCCTTTTCACATTTGTTCCCTCGTTTACTCTCACTACTGCACATGTGGACTTGCTCCCTTCTCAGAAGAAACACGAGAACAATGATTTTATGTAGATAAACAGCAGCTCTTTACAAAATGCCTTTATTTTAGAAAATGTGCATGCTTTATTTTAGTGTTATTTTCTTGATAGGAAGGACTGATTAAAATTTCACCAAAATATGGTTTTGACAGTTAAACAAAAAAATGGTGCAGAAAATTTAATTGAACAATAATAAAGAATGATTTTGTAATTTATTTTTAAAGGAATATAAAATGTAAAGCCTGGTCAAGAGTGAGCTTTAATACAGAATAATGCATCCCTCTCCATGTTCATCCAGACTTGTGACAATGTAAGAAAACAAAAGCATTTTACTAGAATTAAATTATCATTTAAAAGTACAAATAAAGAACTTTAAATCTTTGTTAAGGTCAGCTTGGGTTTCCTGAGCTGTCCCTTAGTTCTGCTGCTATAGGCTTAGACTGATGGAGGACAAACTGACCACACTTTTCACTCTGATACTGTCTTTACTTACTCTGCTCAACCTGCTTTGTATTTGTAATTATTTTTTCTATCTTAACATGTGTTTTTTTGTCTTTCAGACACACCTGGACCTGGACCTATACCTGGACCTGGACCTATATCTGGACCTACCATTCTGTGTTCGTCTGTCTCTCCTTCCTGTCCTCTCAACCAGCCGGTCAAAGCAGATGGCCGCTTGTCCTGATCCTGGTTCTGCTGGAGGTTTCTTCCTGTTAAAAGAGAGTTTTTCTTTCCACTGTCTCCACTGTGCTTGCTCAGGATGGGAGACTGTGATGAAGCCAAGATTCAACTTGTCTGCTGGATTCCTTAGATAGAGAACTTTACTAACTGTCTTTATGTTTGTGAATGTTTCTGTAAAGTGCCCTGAGACAACTTTGTTGTGATATGTAGCTATATACTGTACATAAACTGAATTGAATTAAACAGTATATTAAAATATAGTGATGATTTAACAAAAAAAAGTTTGAATTCACTTATTCTCATTTCATTTGTAAATAAATACATTTGTAGAAACACTCTTCACTTCTATATTTACTTTATAATACATGTAAATTTGTTTTACAAATGCAATCGATTGATCTAAATGTGCTGAACCTTTGCTTGAGCAACATTTCTTTAGGTGTATTTAGCTGAATTTTAGTTTAAGACTACTACTTTCTCTACAGCATTAGGACACACCCATCACAGTGATTTACATAACCACAACATGGTAATTTTAACATAAAGTTTAACTGATTTGTTTCAAGCTCCCAAACTTGGAAGTAATGAAAAGATTAATATTACAGAGACTATGGAGTTTATCTTCCCAAGACTAAATGGAAAGATTTAAATAAGCAGAAATGAGCACAAAAAATACATAAGTAAGAAATTTGCTAAAAAAGCTGAAATGAGCAAAAATAGCTGAGAAAGACAGAAAGAAGCAGAAAAAGCTGAAATGAGTTTATAAATTTGGATTTAGCTGAAAAAGCTAAAATTAGCATAAAACAGCTAAATTGTCGCAGAAAAAGAAAAAAAAGCTAAAATGAGCATAACAAGTTGAAATTCACATAAAGAAGTTAATTAGCCTGAAAATAGCAGAAATTACCATGAAAAACTTGAATTTATTTAAAAACAGTGGAAATGCACAAAAAAAAAGAAAGTACAAGCTTAAATTAGCACAAAAACAGGAAGAAAAAAAAAACATATTTGCCCAACTAGGCTGAAAGCAAAAGAAAAGAGCACAAAAAAATGGAAATTATCTGAAAATACGCTGAAATTTGCAACAACAACAAAAAGGCAACTGAAAAGTAGCTTAAAAGCAGAAATAAAATGAAATTAGCAGAAGGAAGTGGAGAGAGCACATATTTGCTGAATTAGGCTGAAAAAAGTGGAAATATGTGCAAAAAATGTGAAATTTGCTGAAAAAGCTTAAATTAGCAGGGAAAAAAAACAGCTAAATAGCAGGTGAAATGGTAGAAAAGTAGCTGAAAAAACATTAAAATTTGCAGCAGGAAGCTGAAGGAAGCTGAAGTAGAACAAAATGTGAAAGGAGCAGTAAAAGGTTATAAACACATCTACAGACTTGAAGGATGAGCTCAATTAATTGTTTTATGAGGAAAAAATGGCAGAAAAGGCTAAATATTTCAAAAAGCTAAAGTCGTATCAATACCAAAAGCCACAGCAGGATTGCCCTGAAAGAGCCGAACGTTTTGATTCATGATTTGCTGAAATAGTTTGAAAACTGCAGGACGAGAATCGTGCCGAAGAAAAATGGATCACAGTGTGAACGCTTCACAAACATTCACACAATTATTCGCTTTGGAGAAAGAAGCACAACTCTGAGGTTTGCCAATAAAAAAAAAAAAAGCAACAACAAATAAACAATAAAT